TAAATCTCATGTCTCTTAGTGGTCAGACAGCCAGCAGGAAGGGATGTGGTGTTTTTGCTGGATGGATCTGATGCTACTAGAAGTGGATTCCCAGCTATGAGAGACTTTGTCCAAAAACAAGTAGACACACTCAGTGTGGATGATGGCAAAGACCGTGTGTCGGTTGTTCAGTACAGCAGCGATCCAGCCGTCCAGTTCTATCTGAACACGTACACCACAAAAAGAGAGGTCCTTGACAGTGTCAGAGGTTTGAGGCACAAAGGCGGACGACCCCTCAACACTGGAGCAGCTCTCCGGTACTTGAGGGATAACGTCTTCACGGCCTCTGCCGGAAGCAGGCGGCCATCAGGAGTTCCGCAGGTCCTAATATTGATCACTGGTGGAAGATCATTTGACAGTATTGATGAACCAGCCTCTGCTCTCAAACAGCTGGGTGTCTTGACCATTGCAATTGGAACCCGAGGCTCTGACCCCAGAGAACTTCAGACCATAACTGGCGAGCCCAGTTATGCTCTATCTGTGTCTGAACTTACTGACCTACCCAAAGTGCAACAGCAACTTGAGTCCTCTGTGGAAGCTGCAGTTTTTGAAGTCACCCCAGAATTACCAACCGTAATTGGTACGTTGTCAGACACATCCTGTTGCTTGCTCCAAAAGTTATTAATTTTAGCTACAGTGAGGAAAAGCAAATAAATGAATGTGATGTGTGTATAGGTTTTTTGTGCATTTCAAACCAGTTGGTAGCATGCTGTGGTCTTTCTAAAACAGAAGTAGGCCAGGCTAGTGTTGTTAAAATATTAGTGTGCCAGTGAAAGATAATCTCACAAGCTTTGTGAAAGGTTTTCATTTTTTTGTCCTACTGTCTTTTCTCAGCTTCACGTGACAGAAAAGATATTGTATTCCTTCTGGATGGTTCTGATGGCACAAGGAATGGCTTTCCTGCCATGCGTGATTTTGTAGAGAGAGTGGTGGAGAAAATCAATGTGGGAGAAAACAAAGACCATGTCTCTGTGGTCCAGTACAGCAGAGAACCAGAGGTCCATTTCTATCTGAACACATATACCACAAGGGAGGATGTGGTGGACTCGGTCAGAGGGCTTAGACACAGAGGAGGAAGACCCCTAAACACTGGGGCAGCTCTCCAATACGTCAGAGACAACGTCTTTACAAACTCCTCTGGAAGTAGACGCCTGCAGGGTGTCCCACAGATATTGATCTTACTAACTGGGGGAAGGTCTTTTGACAATGTAGATAGCCCAGCCTCAGCTCTCAAACAGCAGGGCATTTATGTGATTGGCATTGGAACTAGGACCTCAGATGCTAGAGAGCTGCAGAAAATATCATATGAGCCCAGTTATGCTCTGTCAGTGTCCGAGTTCACTGACCTTCCCAGTGGTCAAGAACAGCTCTTCTTCTGTAATGAGCAAAGTGATAGTGAGGCCACGCCCATGACACCAACATGACCGGTAAGAACGTGACTCTTTGTAATCTCCAGTATATGTAGGAAACAGTGTGAAAAGAAACAAATGTGATTTGCTGTGTTCAGTTAGCTAGTGGATTGTCTTTTTTTTTTTTTTAAATAGTTGTGCTTGCGAAGAAAGAGTTCAATTTCAAGATGTTTCTCTTTAGCTGCAAATATTTGATTGACCAAGTTAAAACATATGGTAAATCTCATGTCTCTTAGTGGTCAGACAGCCAGCAGGAAGGGATGTGGTGTTTTGCTGGATGATCTGATGCTACTAGAAGTGGATTCCCAGCTATGAGAGACTTTGTCCAAAAACAAGTAGACACACTCAGTGTGGATGATGGCAAAGACCGTGTGTCGGTGTTCAGTACAGCAGCGATCCACCGTCCAGTTCTATCTGAACACGTACACCACAAAAAGAGAGGTCCTGACAGTGTCAGAGTTTTGAGGCACAAAGGCGGACGACCCCTCAACACTGGAGCAGCTCTCCGGTACTTGAGGGATAACGTCTTCACGGCCTCTGCCGGAAGCAGGCGGCCTCAGGAGTTCCGCAGGTCTCAATTGATCACTGGGGAAGATCATTTGACAGTATTGATGAACCAGCCTCTGCTCTCAAACAGCTGGTGTCTTGACCATTGCAATTGGAACCGAGGCTCTGACCCCAGAGAATTCAGACCATAACTGGCGAGCCCAGTTATGCTCTATCGTGTCTGAACTTACTGACCTACCAAAGTGCAACAGCAACTTGAGTCCTCTGTGGAAGCTGCAGTTTTTGAAGTCACCCCAGAATTACCAACCGTAATTGGTACGTTGTCAGACACATCCTGTTGCTTGCTCCAAAAGTTATTAATTTTAGCTACAGTGAGGAAAAGCAAATAAATGAATGTGATGTGTGTATAGGTTTTTTGTGCATTTCAAACCAGTTGGTAGCATGCTGTGGTCTTCTAAAACAGAAGTAGGCCAGGCTAGTGTTGTTAAAATATAGTGTGCCAGTGAAAGATAATTCACAAGCTTGTGAAAGGTTTTCATTTTTTGTCCTACTGTCTTTCTCAGCTTCACGTGAACAGAAAAGATATTGTATTCCTTCTGGATGGTTCTGATGGCACAAGGAATGGCTTTCCTGCCATGCGTGATTTTGTAGAGAGAGTGGTGGAGAAAATCAATGTGGGAGAAAACAAAGACCATGTCTCTGTGGTCCAGTACAGCAGAGAACCAGAGGTCCATTTCTATCTGAACACATATACCACAAGGGAGGATGTGGGGACTCGGTCAGAGGGCTTAGACACAGAGGAGGAAGACCCCTAAACACTGGGGCAGCTCTCCAATACGTCAGAGACAACGTCTTTACAACTCCTCTGGAAGTAGACGCCTGCAGGGTGTCCCACAGATATTGATCTTACTAACTGGGGAAGGTCTTTTGACAATGTAGATAGCCCAGCCTCAGCTCTCAAACAGCAGGGCATTTATGTGATTGGCATTGGAACTAGGACCTCAGATGCTAGAGAGCTGCAGAAAATATCATATGAGCCCAGTTATGCTCTTCAGTGTCCGAGTTCACTGACCTTCCCAGTGTCCAAGAACAGCTCTCTTCTGTAATGAGCAAAGTGATAGTGAGGCCACGCCCATGACACCAACAGTGACCGGTAAGAACGTGACTCCTTTGTAATCTCCAGTATCATGGTAGGAAACAGTGTGAAAAGAAACCAAATGTGATTTGCTGTGTTCAGTTAGCTAGTGGATTGTCTTTTTTTTTTTTTAAATAGTTGTGCTTGCGAAGAAAGAGTTCATTTCAAGATGTTTCTCTTTAGATGCAAAATATTTGATTGACCAAGTTAAACATATGGTAAATCTCATGTTCTTAGTGGTCAGACAGCCAGCAGGAAGGGATGTGGTGTTTTGCTGGATGGATCTGATGCTACTAGAAGTGGATTCCCAGCTATGAGAGACTTGTCCAAAAACAAGTAACACACTCAGTGTGGATGATGGCAAAGACCGTGTGTCGGTTGTTCAGTACAGCAGCGATCCAGCCGTCCAGTTCTATCTGAACACGTACACCACAAAAAGAGAGGTCCTTGACATGTCAGAGGTTTGAGGCACAAAGGCGGACGACCCCTCAACACTGGAGCAGCTCTCCGGTACTGAGGGATAACGTCTTCACGCCTCTGCCGGAAGCAGGCGGCCATCAGGAGTTCCGCAGGTCCTAATATTGATCACTGGTGGAAGATCATTTGACAGTATGATGAACCAGCCTCTGCTCTCAAACAGCTGGGTGTCTTGACCATTGCAATTGGAACCCGAGGCTCTGACCCCAGAGAACTTCAGACCATAACTGGCGAGCCCAGTCATGCTGTATCTGTGTCTGAGTTCACTGACCTTCCCAATGTTCAAGAACAGCTCTCTTCTGTAATGAGCACAGTGCCAATGAGGGTCACACCTTTGACCCCAACAGTAACTGGTAAGAACATGACCCATCTTCAAAGTCCAGTATCATTGTAGGAAACAGTGTGAAAAGAAATCATTTGGTTTTGCTGTTTTAATCAGCCAGTGGATGTTTTTCCTTTTTTTTTGTTCTGTTTCGTTTTTGTTTTGTTTTTATAAAATAGTTGTGGTTGTAAAGAAAGAGTTCACTTTTACCATGGTGCTTTTTAGCTGCAAAAATATTTGATTGACCAAGTTAAACATATGGTAAATCTCATGTCTCTTAGTGGTCAGACAGCCAGCAGGAAGGGATGTGGTGTTTTGCTGGATGGATCTGATGCTACTAGAAGTGGATTCCCAGCTATGAGAGACTTTGTCCAAAAACAAGTAGACACACTCAGTGTGGATGATGGCAAAGACCGTGTGTCGGTTGTTCAGTACAGCAGCGATCCAGCCGTCCAGTTCTATCTGAACACGTACACCACAAAAAGAGAGGTCCTTGACAGTGTCAGAGGTTGAGGCACAAAGGCGGACGACCCCTCAACACTGGAGCAGCTCTCCGGTACTTGAGGGATAACGTCTTCACGGCCTCTGCCGGAAGCAGGCGGCCATCAGGAGTTCCGCAGGTCCTAATATGATCACTGGTGGAAGATCATTTGACAGTATTGATGAACCAGCCTCTGCTCTCAAACAGCTGGGTGTCTTGACCATTGCAATTGGAACCCGAGGCTCTGACCCCAGAGAACTCAGACCATAACTGGCGAGCCCAGTTATGCTCTATCTGTGTCTGAACTTACTGACCTACCCAAAGTGCAACAGCAACTTGAGTCCTCTGTGGAAGCTGCAGTTTTGAAGTCACCCCAGAATACCAACCGTAATTGGTACGTTGTCAGACACATCCTGTTGCTTGCTCCAAAAGTTATTAATTTAGCTACAGTGAGGAAAAGCAAATAAATGAATGGATGTGTGTATAAGGTTTTTGTGCATTTCAAACCAGTTGTAGCATGCTGTGGTCTTTCTAAACAGAAGTAGGCCAGGCTAGTGTTGTTAAAATATTAGTGTGCCAGTGAAAGATAATCTCACAAGCTTTGTGAAAGGTTTCATTTTTTTGTCCTACTGTCTTTTCTCAGCTCACGTGACAGAAAAGAATTGTATCCTTCTGGATGGTTCTGATGGCACAAGGAATGGCTTTCCTGCCATGCGTGATTTTGTAGAGAGAGTGGTGGAGAAAATCAATGTGGGAGAAAACAAAGACCATGTCTCTGTGTCCAGTACAGCAGAGAACCAGAGGTCCATTTCTATCTGAACACATATACCACAAGGGAGGATGTGGTGGACTCGGTCAGAGGGCTTAGACACAGAGGAGGAAGACCCTAAACACTGGGGCAGCTCTCCAATACGTCAGAGACAACGTCTTTACAAACTCCTCTGGAAGTAGACGCCTGCAGGGTGTCCCACAGATATTGATCTTACTAACTGGGGGAAGGTCTTTTGACAATGTAGATAGCCCAGCCTCAGCTCTCAAACAGCAGGGCATTATGTGATTGGCATTGGAACTAGGACCTCAGATGCTAGAGAGCTGCAGAAAATATCATATGAGCCCAGTTATGCTCTGTCAGTGTCCGAGTTCACTGACCTTCCCATGTCCAAGAACAGCTCTCTTCTGTAATGAGCAAAGTGATAGTGAGGGCCACGCCCATGACACCAACAGTGACCGGTAAGAACGTGACTCCTTTGTAATCTCCAGTATCATGGTAGGAAACAGTGTGAAAAGAAACCAAATGTGATTTGCTGTGTTCAGTTAGCTAGTGGATGTCTTTTTTTTTTTTTAAATAGTTGTGCTTGCGAAGAAAGAGTTCAATTTCAAGATGTTTCTCTTTAGCTGCAAAATATTTGATTGACCAAGTTAAACATATGGTAAATCTCATGTCTCTTAGTGGTCAGACAGCCAGCAGGAAGGGAGTGGTGTTTTGCTGGATGGATCTGATGCTACTAGAAGTGGATTCCCAGCTATGAGAGACTTTGTCCAAAAACAAGTAGACACACTCAGTGTGGATGATGGCAAAGACCGTGTGTCGGTTGTTCAGTACAGCAGCGATCCAGCCGTCCAGTTCTATCTGAACACGTACACCACAAAAAAGAGAGGTCCTTGACAGTGTCAGAGGTTTGAGGCACAAAGGCGGACGACCCCTCAACACTGGAGCAGCTCTCCGGTACTTGAGGGATAACGTCTTCACGGCCTCTGCCGGAAGCAGCGGCCATCAGGAGTTCCGCAGTCCTAATATTGATCACTGGTGGAAGATCATTTGACAGTATTGATGAACCAGCCTCTGCTCTCAACAGCTGGGTGTCTTGACCATTGCAATTGGAACCCGAGGCTCTGACCCCAGAGAACTTCAGACCATAACTGGCGAGCCCAGTCATGCTGTATCTGTGTCTGAGTTCACTGACCTTCCCAAGTTCAAGAACAGCTCTCTTCTGTAATGAGCACAGTGCCAATGAGGGTCACACCTTTGACCCCAACATAACTGGTAAGAACATGACCCATCTTCAAAGCCAGTATCATTGTGGAACAGTGTG